CCAACATAGGCTGATTAGATAGGCCAACAAACTTAATCCACACCAGTTGATAGCTCCCACTACCAACCTCAAATGTGAAGTAAGCCAACAAACCAATCACACAATACAATGATCGAAGCCATTGTCCTCAAGTGTGATTCTCAGTATTATTAGAGTGGACACTACATGTCACCACGTACACACAAGTGTACTTATCTACTATGCCTATGACGTGCTTATCAATCTTCGCTTTGACGAACAAGCAAAACATGTTATTTTAAGTTGACCCATCACCATTAAGGAAAACTCCAATGAACTTTAACCTCCCACTAGTAGAAGTGTACCCTTCGCTTTGGCGAATAAGGTTCCAACGAACAGTGGTTTGATTAAAGACATGGTGATGGAAGGCGTTTTAATGACTAAATATCCTTTATTTGAGGGGTTTTATTTTGCGCCTCACTAATTTATTATCTTTGTTAAAATGACATTGATCGGCATGTTATTAAACATTCAACCTTAGCTTGCATTCTAAGCAAAATATAAACGTGCCAGTACATGACCCAACTAAAACCAATTTCTTCGAGCCTAAAGGAATTGGTAGGTCAACCTAGGGTCAAAACAAACCTTGGGTTTTAAAGTTTGCCTCTTCATCGCTGCTTCATTTCTTCATCATGATCGTTACAAAAGGAATTTATAAAAAGTAAATCCTATTCTAATTTACATCAATAAATCAAAAACCTCGCGTTACATAGGAGAGAAGTAAGATGTGAGGAAGAAGTACATAAAGAGTTTAGAGGTAGGTAGCAGGTCCTATTTATTCCAAAATTAAATAAACAAACCCAAAATTAAATAAACAAACCATAGGTCTAAGGCTCATATATCGGGCACCATGCAATTTTCAAACAAGTACATTGCATACATTCAAAATAAACATTTTGAATTAGGTGGGTGAAATTATTAAATTACCCTCTTAGATGTGCAGAATAATTATTGGCTTAAAGGTTTTTGGAAAAACTACACTTTGGTCCCATCGCGTAAAAACCGCGATCCACAATCGTCGTGGTGAATGTAAAAAATACCACGGTCTGCGGTGAGTGTGAATGATTAGCGAGCTCCAGAAGCTCGCTCGTTACGGAGATCATTCACCAAACTTGTGATTGCCATGGTGAGCGTTGATTTTCAACGCCGCTCCAGAAGCTCGATCGCCATGGTAAAGTTTTATTTTGATGTGGCGACGATTTCCATCACCCTGGCGAGCACTGATTTTTAAGCGCTGCTCCAGTCAACAGAGCTCGTCGCTGCGGCGAAGGTTTATTTCACCGCAGTGATCGGTGCAGACCAGTAATAAGGTAGTTCATTTTTTTTTTCTAGTTTTTCGCGTAACAACATGAATCCAAATCAAATCGAATGCACAATATTTGACTAGGACATCAACCAACCAAGAATCATTCATCAACACATCAATTAACCAATTAATCATACAAATCATGCATTAAACACTAAATTTTACAGATTTAAAAAATTAGTTTACACTATAACATGTTATCAAACATAGATTAAACAATATACTCTGATACCCAAGGCTCTGATACCTTATAAGATTTGCGCAACGAAAAATCAGAGTTTTAAAACAAATCGATCAATTATTCAATCCCAAAAATCAGGGTATCGATTATATTGTTTGCATATATTATAAAATCTGTATAATATCAAATTAACAGCAAATCCATACAAGGATTCAGATTCACTTACGTACGTTTGGAGTCTCCTTTAGTAGTCTTTGATTCGATTTCGCTTTCAATTTAATGTAAAACTGCACAAACGTTGATCCACACGAAGACAATCCGAAGAACCAAAAAGGGATTTGCTAGATCCACTTAATGGCTTCAAGAATCAAGAAGAAATTTTTTTTCTTCTCCACTCAATGAAGAAGAACGTGAGAGGGAGAGTGGGATAAGTGGCTAGGGTTTTGAATGATAAAAAATTATGTTATTTTAATTTAAATTGCACTTACATAGTGCAACAATTAAAACCCTATTCCACTTATGAATAGCCATGGGCTCCAACCCTAATACACCCTTGCAACCAAACACCCCATTAATGGTATTTTAAATTTAATTAATTGTTTATTATAATTAAAATCAATTAATATATAAAAATATATTAACATTTAATTAATAATAATAATCTATTTAAATATATGTGCACATATATTTACATATAATCTCACTAATTTTAATTTTAATATTAAATTAAATACAAACAACAATCTCAGCAAATTTAATTGCATTGTGAGATTACCAAAATACCATTTCGTCATAAAAGACGAAAATACCCCTTTCACAAATTGATTCTTAAATTATCTTTCAAGTGTGTGAACTGTAGGCTCCTTATCATATCGATATTGAGTAGTATTACGATTAACAACAATTAATCGTCTCACTACACACAGACCTAGATTGGTCCCTAGCAAGGCATCATGGCCACTCGATAGATTCGGATTCAGCGAAATAGCTACCTATCAACGATATGGTTACCGTGCAATCAAATCCTTTTATCGTACGTTATCTCATCGAGGTTGAGGTACATAAATAGTGTCAACCTCAGTTATTCTCGATATCTTTGTATTCATCTACTAGACCAATGATCGGATAAATAAATTAGATTGAGCAACAACTCAATCCCACTGTGGCCACAGATTTGGTGTCATTGCCATTTATTGAATTGCGCAGTGAGATAAACTTCTCCCGTACCCGGGAGTGATGAATCCTTTGTTAATCCACCATAGTCTTGATACACTTCTCAATGCAGCCAATCATTACCATATTGATAGCTCTGAATAGAACTACGTTGGGCCAGTGTCAAACTACATCAATCGGTGTATAAGGCGCTCCGATAATCTCAAGTCTAAAGATACATGTACCATCATTCGTTGGAGGATTTATTTCATAGATATTAGAGTTACCATCTGTATGGAATCCTTTGGTGGGTCTGTCTAGTGAACTTGCCTACAACAAGCACCCATGTGTTGCACCAAGTTGTCGGCAAACAACATTGACAAGTGAGATCAGTCACTACCTTTCGACAAGATTGTTCAACACTATGATAGCCTTATTGTATTATCTGTGTCCTTGGTCAAATAATATTGTGGCTACGGACATTTCTAAAATGACCACCATATGTGATCATAGAGTTCTCACTATCAAGATTTGAAACACTTGATACCCTCGTCACGATTCTATCATCCTAATTAAGAACATATATCAATACACACAATTATGATTTACATGATATAGAAGAAAATTACCTTTTATTGATTAATAAACATTATTACAAAAAGTTAATTCTACAATAATTGATTAGCTCGAGTGCACCTACTCTAACAAAATGGTCGTGACAGTTTTCGAACTGTTAAGAATCTCTTGACAGATTCTTGACAGTTATAACTCGTCAAAGATTTGGCCTAATTTTAAGTGTTTTTTTTTTTTTTAAATTGAATAATAATTAAATATTGTTAATAATAATTTTTCATCCTTGATAGTTTTAAAACTGTCAAGAATTTTTTTTTTGTAAATTTTTTTATAAATATTTTTATTTTGTAATTAGTTTATTTTCCTGATTATTACCAATTAAATAATAGAATAATGCAATGAAATTCTTCATAATATTCCTCAACCAACAACAATTATCACAATTCAATGATAAATATAAACATTCAACAATCTTTCATTAATTTAGTAAATGAAATTGAACAATAGTATATATACAGGAATAAAAGACCCATGTCATTAGTGCATCAATAATTAAAAGTTTGATACATATTTTTTTTTCCCTCATTGACGCTTTGACATCACTAAAACATCAATAATTAAAAAAAGTTTGATATGTACATCGCCCATTCTCCTCCAACTTCATAGAAGATGGTGGATAACATCAGTCCCTGTACAAATTCGCACCTCTTTGCCTTCTCCATGTGGTCCTTGTCTTATAAGGAAGATTGAATAACATTTTTGCAACCATAAAAAGACAATCAAATTCAATTAAAAGAAGAGGTCTATGGCTCCTTGGTCTTAAAGACAAAGCAACTTTGCAAACAGCAAGATAATATGAGAGTCTTGGGTTTTAAAAAAGGCTCTCGGTTGTGAGGGAGTCTATTTTGTACTTGAGGGAAAGGATCATGGAAAAAAGTATGATAAAAGATTACTATATAAAATGATATTAGCCATCCCAGCTTAAATGTGACCCTATACTAATAACAAATAACAATGATAATATAACTAACATGTCAAATGAATGCATAGCCCATCCATATGCACTTAAATTCTGCCTCTAAACCATGCAGTAAGCATAAAGTAAAACAGGAGTCACATTCTTCACCAGTTTGCTAGTTTACACTTCTCCCTTCATACTTGCCAATGACATTTTATAATTCAAATATTAAATAACTGTATATATTAAAGATGGTGGATAACATCAATTCATAATTGAACACAACTACTTAGAACCCTTTCCAGTTTTATTGTTTTAACTGATTCCTAGTCCACCCCTGATATCATCACTAGTGCACAAAATCAAAACATTTCAACCAACAACTCTTCAGTAGCACCTTTTAAAGCAGCACTTAGCTTAAGGAGCACATATTTTTGTTATTTCCAGCCTTCACACTTAACATCCAAAACCATCATAATGGCTAAGTTTCTTTCATTCAGATGTTAATTGATTACAAATAAAATATCCGGCTTTAATCACTTGTCCACATGGATTCTACTCCCCTCAAATCTATTTTCTGATTTTGATGATCCCATTCCCTTTTGTCAAATATTCTCCTTTCATATTCTGTATAATATTTTACAGATATTTTTTAGCACTTGTTTATTGTATAATGAATTCTTAAGGTAAATGACTAAAACACACATAAAAAAGAACTATGAAATGCTATTGCCATCCAGATAATTATGAATTCAATATAATTAATGGGAAGAATATATAGTTTTAACAAGCAAAGATAAAGGTAGACAACAATACCACGTTCTTGCTTAGGATAGCTTGATCAGCATGAGTTATCAAGGTCTGCAAGAGATAAAAAGAGTATTAGGAAGACAATTATTTTTTATAGTAAATAGCTCTCTACAACATTGCAAGTGCACATGAAAAATAAAGATTGCAGAAAAACATCTACAAACCATCTTATTAAAAAAGAAAAATAGAAAGAAATGCAAAGACTTTTCAGCCAGTTGAGATATATAGAATGAAAATGAAACAAATTTTATTCCTTAGAATGCTAAGTTAACATATCATGGGTGACCTTTGTAAACTGATTAATTTCAGTCCCACTACAAAGGCCTAAACTGAGGGCATATGGTCCAAACCAGATTAGAGCCAACAAGCTCCATCTATTAACCTAATTTACACCGGCTAACCAACTAGGGAAGAGAATAAGAAGAAAAAGTTTATGATTTATGTTGTAACTGGTAAATTCTACCTCTCTAATACGTTCTCCTTCAACTTGATCAACACATTTCAACAAGTTCTCCAATGTGCCTGCCATTCAAGCGAAGATATAACATGTCAGATATCAAGAATAAGAACTTTTAATTGGGAAGAGATAGATAAGAATGAATTTGGCATCAAGTAGTTGGGACTGATGCTCAAGAATACATCAAGTTATAAACGTATAGTAGTAAGGGTGCCCCAATTTGCAATTGAGGAAAAACTAAATATCAGCAACTTTTGTATGTTTAGGTTTAAATGTATTTTTTTTTCCGATCTTCCTTACCAAAACAAGAAAAGAATTTTAAACCCTAAACCCTAAATTTTTATTATCATAGTTAGGCATATAGAAAACAAGATTTTACAATAAAAACATGCTATAAGGGTGTATTCATCTTCAAATTTCTAGATGCTAACAAAAAATTAATGAATTTCATAACATAAAGAATGCAACTTCATGTATACTTTAGTTCACATCAAACAAGAAAACATCCTAAATGATGAATTAACATACCAAATTTAGAGATGAGTTGCACAGCACGAACATTTCCAATCCCTTCAACTCCTGCATTCATAAAGTAATGTTGCACTATTGGTGGAATTTAACATATCTCAAGAAATATGTACAAAAATTAAAGGAGTACCTCTGACATAATTATCTGGATCTTCTATCAACATTACTTATATGATCAGGTAAAAATAACTGAAGAGAGTACCTCTGGTACAACAACATCAAGGTTATTAATCAATTCTTGAAATTTATTGGCAGCTGTTTCTGAAGTGCTATTGCCATCCACTGGACCGATGATGCTTAGGCAGCAAACTCTGAAAATTTTTCCACACGCAGTCCCCAAGTCTACATTGTCTGACATAACAAAGGAAAATGTTTCCAGAATCCAAATCAGAAACTTGAATTATACAAACATTTATAAAAAAAGGCAAGTCATCTGCTATTGGACCCAAAACAAAAGTTTACTATCAGTAAGTTTGATAGTTACAATATGATTGGAATTCATGTATATTTTACGTCTTACAAAAAGATAATACGCCAAGCAATATGACAATACATTGCATTAACTTATGGAATCAGAAACAAATTAGCTTAGCATTTGGCAATTATCCATTAGTAATAAAAATGGAACACAGTAGTATAACCCATCAATCGTCTTAAACAAACCCGAAAATAATCCATAGAAACCGGAACAAATTATTAAATCCATCTATTCTACATAACAGTTTATCCCCTCTAATCAAAGTTTACTAGTATTATGCATGACTTTATATGTTGAATTTAAAACTTAAACAACCATAAATAACAGGATAGTAAAAAGGAAGCCAAAGAACAAATATACTTTGCATATGAGTTGAAGGCAATAACACAACAAACTCACCCTGCATTAAATAGGATAGGCGACAAAAGATATATAAAGAACAGATCTTCACTGAAGACTAACAAATGCGAACTTTTACCATCGCTAATCAGCAAAATAACTACACCGGTACAAAGATCCTGCCACCACCAACTCACATCAATTAATGAAAGTCACATGATTCTTTGATTTCTCTTAGGATTTGATTACAAGTATTTTAAGTTATTTCTTGTTTGCATTTTTCTATGTAATTTTGAACTATTTTTAATCTCAAAGTCTCTATGGTCATGATTGACTAGAGTTATTTTGTGCCACATGGATGGCTTAGATCTTTTGTACCTTAGGGCAGCTTTGTAAGGCCATTTAAAAGGCCAAATTTTCCCAGTGTAATTTAGATTTGATGAATGAAAAATAGTTGCTCTTGAGAGTGTTATTTTCTTTTATCCAACCTTTACTAAGGGTTGGCGGTGGAACTCCTTGGCTGATGGTGTAACCTTTAGGCCTTGGATCACATTAGTATTTATGTTTATTGCTTGTTGTGTGTTGATTTGTTTAGTTACAATTGTGGGTTTAGCCGAGATTGTGCAAGGTGATTGAAGCTTTGGCAGATTGTTATTGGAGTAGCCTTGTGTAGTTACGGTTGTGTTGCCATCATCTCACTCTCATTTCATTACATTTTGTTCACCAAACAAGAGAATATTGAAAATTAAATGAAGATTACCGGAGTAATCTTATATGACCCCGAACCAAACGCACCCAACGTGGTAATCAAATAATATAAGATGGCATTACCTCAGTAATCCTCTATTACCCCTAACCAAACACATCCTGAGGGTTGTAAAAGAATAATTAATGTAGGAGATTATGTTTTGATTTTGTTGGTTTAAGGATTTAAAGCAGTTATTTAAGATATCTAATGAGGAGATTATGTTTTGATTTTATTAGAATTAAGGTGTGTAATGACAATGAGGGGTGTGTTTGGTTTACTATTTGTAATCCTATTTCGAATCCAATTTTTAGAATCTGTGTTTGTTTTATTACTCAGGAAAATCTATTGTGAAAATTTGATTCTTGACATTTTTTTATTGTTGTTTGTCTGTGGGGCTCTAACATTTGCAGTTTTTTTCTTTTCCTTCTTTCTTCACTTTTTTATTTATTTCTTTCTTCTTCTTTCACCACTCTGATGCGTTGAAAATTATAACATGCAATGTGTAGCAAGTGCACTAGTCGCAAAAAGTAATAAAGTGATAAGTAGTGTATCATTCCCATGAGGATTGCTTGTTAAGCACTAATTTTCCTAGTTGTTTATCAAGTTGGAGAAATCAAAAGATATTTGGATTTGCGGGAGAAAACAAGCTAAAGTTAAAACAAAATTTACTGCGTACTTTAAAAACTAATTAATGACAACAAAGCTAATTCAAGAGAAATATCGATTAAACAAAGCAGTTAGGGTTTTGATTTCACTAGGATTTTACGAATTAATCTACGAATTATGTAACTTATACACTCACATGCACGGATTATAAATCGGACTCCCTAATGTGTAAAACAAACCTTCTCAGGCTATGTTTTCCTACTTATCCCTATTAAGCTTTCGTAACCAACAATTTGAAGGTTAGTAGTTCCAAGATTGTTAAGCTAAATGGAATCCTAATTTGATTTCATTGATTCTCAAACCTATCTCTAGCGTTCAATAAAATAATGGCAATTATTCTTTGAAGCTAATACATGATTCACTTCTCAGTCTCATCATGCCCAACAAGTAATTTCAATAAAAACAAGAGTAATTACACAATCCATGCAATAGAATGTAAAAGCAACATCAATTTATTGATTAAACATAAAAATCCCTATTACATCAAAACCATAACCCAAAAGTGAGTTAGTTCATACTAAAATTAACACAAATTGAAATAAAAATGGTAAACAATGCATTCAACATGTTGGAATAAAGAAAAGAGAACAAAATCTTCCCTATTTGATGAATCCAAAGAGTTCAATCTCCAATCTTCTCTTCTTTCTCCCAAAAAATGTCGAACCCTTACTAAAATGACTAAGTCTCACTTATATAGTTGGTCCAAAAAAACCTAAGACTCGCCTAAAATTAAAACGCACAGTTTTAATAAAAACCGAAACTTGCAAACTTTGCCGCAGCAACGAGTTGGTTTACAATTCTTTATCTATCCCGAGAGATTATCGCATTGACAAAGAAAGAACTTCGCCACGGCAAACTTTTCTAAACAATTCTAAAATTACGAAACTACCATCTGCTTTCTTCCTTGCTTGAATCTTCAATCTTTGGTGCTCTCCAATAGGAACAAGCTTCATAATGCTTCAAATCCGCTTCAGAACTTCCTCGAATCTTGAGATTCGTTTGCTTTTGGGTCTAGAAACTCAATTCCGCTCAGTATTCGCTCTAACTACACATTTTGGCCTGAAACATAAAATATATGAAATTCAATTACAATAGGCACAAACGAAATAAGAAGTATCCAAAATTCGGCCAAAAAGCCTAGATAAAACAGTATAATCCTAGGGTTATCACACTCCGTCTTCTTCTTCTTCTTCTTCGTTACAACCACCACTAAAACTCTGTCTTCCACCTGGATTAAAAAACAAACCCAAGATCTTCCAGCTCTCCTTCCCCTAAAACTCCCTCCCAAAAGTGGCAGTTGCACTGATTCACAACCATCTCTAGCTATCATCTTCAGCCACCACTCAGCACCGAAATTACTCTTCCTCCTTCACGACTATTCAACCTCTTGCGAAACCCACACACTTAAGGCTTCCACCACCACCGGCACACGATCCTTGTGATCCACCACCATCTTCGGCCACCCTCCCCACTTAGCATCGAAATCTCTCTTCCTCCTCCATGGTCGTTTAACCTCTTGCGAAGCTCAAATCAAGTTGATCTTCACTATTTCTGCCAAATCTTTCTGCTTTTCTCACATTTAGCTCAGCTTCAACTTAGATCCGTAAGTGCTTGAACTCTCTTTTTAACTGTAATTTTTAAGTTAAGAGTTTTAGAATCATCAAATATTAGGGAGGATATTAGCCATGTTTTTCTATTTATCTCTCTTCAAAAATGGGTTCAACTAGTCTGGCAGAATTTGATGCAGTGGGTGGCTTGCCGATAGAGGGTTGAGTAAGTGGTGAGTGTTGTGTGCCGGTGAGATGGAGAATTTTTTGGAGAAAAAAAAGATTGGGAAAAACTAAAGAAAAAGAAATGGAGGAGTAATAGGAAAAAAGAAAAAGAAAAAGAAAAGTGAGTGGTGAGGGATCGAGTTGAGTGAGTGGTGAGTGGTGAGTGGTGAGCGTTGTGAGTCAGTGAGATGGAGAACTTTTAGGAGAAAAAAAAGATTTGGGAAAAAAATAAAGAAAAAGAGAAGGGGGGGTAATAGGAAATAAGAAAAAGAAAAAAGAAAAGTGAGTGGCGTGTGGTGAGTTGAGTGAGTGGTGAATGTTGTGTGCCAGTGAGATGGATAAATTTTAGGAGAAATTTTTTTTGGAAAAAAATAAAGAAAAATAAAAGATTTGTGTTTGTTTCATTATTCCAAATATTTTTTTTTGGGATTTTTCTAACTTATATATTTGTTTTGCAGATTCGGCATTGTAATTTGATCGCAACAACAAATTACGATCATATGATAAATGTCAGTATAATTTGGCCCATCGTTGCAGGATTGATTACCACTTTCGGCAAAAGAAGAAGTTTCAATGTCTTTCCAGACTTGGAGTCCGTCATACACTCTGTTGGTCAACTCTGCCCATAACTTCCCCGACATTGACGACTTCAAGTAGTGTTGGATCGAACCAGGTAACAATTTATCTATGTTTAACTTATACGGTTTAAATGTGCGTATGTTTGTTGGTGATGTGTTTGCTAATTATTATGATGTCTCAATCTTAGTTGTCGTTCTCACCGTACTGTTATTACATGAGCGATAATGTCAACTAGTCTGCTAAGATGACCCACAAATTTTTGAGCGTGCGAAAAATTTCCCACGATACTTCAAAATATATTGGGTGATTTATCATCATTGGTTGGGAAGAGACTCAACGTCACCCATTCATCCTCTAAGTGCTTTCGCTTGAGAAAAGTATATTAAGCATGGCGGAAATTGCTTCAACACACGGGCTTCGATTGGGATCATGAGTCCCAAACTCCAACATGTCCCTTAGAGGTTTGACAAAAATATATCAAGGTAAATTTAAAAAATTTTAAATTCATATTAATCTATGATACCGTACTTTTACGCATTTTTTTGG